CGCAGTGACATGCTGGTTAGAAAACATGTGAAGTAGGGCTGCCCGTGCACGACTAAAGGTTTTTTTTTCTAGTTGACTAGTAGTAGTTGATTTAAGCCATTAGTCTAATCACATATTTATATTGATTAAATTACTTAAATATATATAGGAGAGAATGCTAAACCATAATGAGCGTTTTCGTAATATATTGCCTATTCTGCATCTCAAAGCACGCATAAAGCTTGCCACAAAGAACCGGCAAAAGTAATTATAATGCATGAAACATTTGAATTGTTTATTAATGAAAAACTTTCTATGTCAGTGGCTGCACAGATAAAGTTTACGATGAAGACTCGCATCTTCGCAGTAGTGAACACGCATAGAGAGAAATGCACACTTCATATGAATTAGCCTACACAGAGAGCAGCCCATTTCTTTTAGTTTTTAATTGTTTTGTTTAAAAGTAGACATTTCAAGCTTACTATATATATATACACTTCTCAGATATTTAAGGCATCTATCTTATAGCCTACGCTGAGTTTCGTTTTTTTAGGAGACGCGCTCCAGTTCACGCGCCGGTGCCTCCGTGTTCGGCTTATATTGTCTAATATATATGCTTTTATTTATTACTCCAGGCAATTCGTTGATGAAACATTGATTAAAATTAAGATACAATTTATACAAAACGAAATTCACTTTAAAGAAAGGCTTTCTACAAAACGAAAGCCTCTCACGGAGACTTCAGATGCCCCAACACCTGCGATGAGACGACTCGACACCGGCGAAATGTTATGCCCTAAATTAATACATGATGATTAACTAACTATATTCTTCTATGTACATTTCTGAAATGCACTTTCTGTAAAGCTGCTTTGAAACAATATGTATTGTGAAAAGCGCTATACAAATAAATTTGAATTGAATTGAATTGAAAACAAAATGTAATAAGTGGTCAAAAATCATGTCTGACCCATTCCAAATGTTTTCCGATATTGGGCATCTTATCATCCTATCTTATTCATCTCATGCAGTTTCCTTTTCATATAATCAACATAGATGAAATAAAAAAATAACAACATTATATTATTAAACATAAATATGAAAAGAAATACGTTTTTTTTTTTACTTATAGCCTATTTAAGTGTCACACCGCTCCGCTGTATAGCTGTGTAGCCTACATGCATGTGTGTGTGCATATGGTGGAGGGGTGCGATTTTCGAATAATAATCAAATAATACCAGGCGATCTTCAAATATTATTTTTGCTTGAAATGCCCATCCCTGCCAAACTGCAGAAGTCGTGTTCTTCTTCGAGACCAGGTCACTCGGTGCGCAACTTGCCATCTTTCCCCCTCTCTCCCCCACTCTTTCTCCTCCACACTGTCACGTGATGACAACCACACATAAGCATTTTTAGCCATTAAATAAATTATATTTAATATTTAATCCTTGTCTTCTATATAAGTGCATTGGATTTTTTTTATGACGGTATGACGATATTGAAACTGATACCGTTGCTATTTTTAGATCCCGCGGTATACGATATTACCGTATTACCGCCCAAGCCTAATGAACAGTGTTGCTCCTTGATATTGTTAGTCCCAGCCTCCGTCTCGATTAGTAGGATATGCGGTGGTTCATTTTTTGACTGTGACCGGTATGCTTTTGCCTCTATTTGGATGCCTTGTTGTTCCTTGCGTTTCACCTGTATGTCGTGAATATAGCCTTCGAACGTATATTGCAGCCCCTTTTGCCTACTTCTATCGGACACTTTATTTGCTGCTTTATAAAAGTTTGATAAAATTTCAGCAGGAAGAGCTGTCACAGCATAAGCCATGTTGATACCAGAGCCCAGATGAAGTTTGTTTGTCGGACGTAGCAACAGTAACTAAGGGGGGCGGGGCTTAGCCAAAGGCGAATTGAAAAAATGAAGTTATATGGAATTGTCAAGTTCAGTGAATAAGCGGAATCATGGAACTTGTCGTCATGCCGATGGATCTAATAATGTTTATGGATGAGTGAATACATTGATGTTTTTAACATGACTGTGGTATGAAGCAGGGCTCGCGCGATTGCTAATGAGAGACATATACCAGCGTCACGTGAGTCCCGCAGATATAAAGGAATAAGGACATTTCATTCTACCGAACTACCCGCAAGTGCTGTACAGGGCAGTTTATTTGACGAATTAAAATTGTGAGGTAACGCAGCGCTGTTTCACTTGGTCTACACTATCACAATAAACTGCATTTGAGTGTGTTGAAAGTTTTAATGTTATTCAATGTGTTGAATAACTAGCACTATGTGCTGTATGAGACTAGCAGTAAGCTAGACATTAGAATAACATACTCATCATATTTTAACATTTCATCATGTTGAGCTATATAACATTGATTCGTTTTATGTACATTCGCTCACCTGTCTAATAAAGTACATGCAAGAGCGGCGTCTCTGTCAAGTCGTGACTCGTGAAGCTCTGTCAAGTAGAAGTTTGTCGCGGACGTGGAGCTCTCGGCATCTCGAAAACGCCACGCCGATATTGATCCTTGTTTTATTCCTCCTTTTGTCCCAAAGTCTGCTTGCCATGGTCCATAATGTTTGAACGAAACAACAACAGCGTGATCGTGCTGCTAGACGTTACGCAGTTTTCCACGTCTGTCGCCATGGTTACTATGGCAGTACGAGTGGAAACCAGGGATAACGCGTCATTGACAGGCGACAAGTTACAAGGGACGGGCACTATATAAAATTGTGAATTTCTCTGAATTTACAAATCGTTGGAAACATTTAGGATAATGTAAGCACATAAAAGAAATGTATAACACTGTGCAAGTGGTTTTTGGATATTTTGATACAAAATTCTTACGTATTGTACCTTTAATAATTTTAAGGCAACGGGTTTCCTCACTTTTTTCAAAATGAAGTCAACATATCACTTTTTACAGTGTAGCAGGCACAGACATGATATACCGGTATAATAACCATAGATATCTATCGGTACAATATGCGTCACGACTAGACAATCACCATCGTTTTCAAATACCTGTTTTTACACTTACAAAAATGGCATTTTCAGATGTATCCACTTGGGAGAGTGTCTTCAAAAAGCTGTTTTCACAGGACAAAAATGGCATCTCCATGTGGATGGAAGTCTAACATGTTTGTCTAAATGTTACAGTAGGCACTGTTGTTAAAAATCTCAAAACTAATGAAGATGGAAGAAAAAATCTAGATGAACGAATCAAGTTGTGGAAGTCTATCTTTTTGGGAATGACATTAATGCTCTTCTGAGGTCAGTGTGTCAGTCAGTTGATGGACGTGGGCGTTCGTGAACTCGTCACATCATTGTGTTCCTCCTTCACACTGCTGGAAAAACCTGCGCAGATGTGCTGGTTTTTTTTTTTGAAAATGAAGTGTGACATGAGTTCCGTGAAATGAATTTCCATTTTTCTAAATGTTAAAAATGACTGTAATTAAATTAGAAGGAAAACTCTGAAATCTTTTCCTCGCATTGCACAAAAGTACAACTTTGTTGACAGCTGTATATATACTTGAGGGTAGCTCCTAAAATGAGTACGTCTGATGAAACACCAAGAAATAATTCAGACGTTTGAGGGGAAAATGAGTCCTTGGTATTTGATCCTTGAAGCTGTTCTTCAGGAGATGCTCTTTAAATAGTAATGGGGAGCGTATTTTGTGGACAGATAATGCATTTTTATTAGGCCTGTCAATTTTTACAATTTCAAATCACATTAGTTACATGCAATTCATTGAATTAATCACATATATTAACATTTGCCAAAAAAAAAAAAGCCCAAATGAAGATAATTCAACATTTCATTACATTTAGATTAGTTTAATATACATTGCATAAGTGGCTCTCAAAAACAGTTGAATTGCTCTGATGCTGAGAAAAAGTATTTTTAAAAAAGTAATATTTTTTTAAATGTACTGCATTTAATCTTAATTGAAAACCCTTATTATTTGTTTAATGAAGGCTACTTTTAATTTAAGGAGCTCATGCTCTGAATGAATTCATGTTCTTTATTGGTGTTTACTTTAATAATTTCTTGGAATACTTGAAGCAATTTGTTTTATTGTGAAATATAATTGAAGACTACATTTGTATTATTTTTGTTCATATTTAACATCTTATTAAATAAATAATATGCCAATTAAACTTACATCTGATCTTACATCATACTTGTAACACTGTTCAAAAGTTTTGGGTCGAATTTTTTACTGTTCTTGAAGGAAGTCTCTATGCTTACCATTTATTTTATAAAATACAGCAAAACAGTAATATTGTGAATTTACATTTAATATATTTTAATTTATTCATTTATTCCTGTGATCAAAGCTGAATTTTTTGCATCATTACTCCAGTCTTCAGTGTCACATGATCCTTCAGAAATCATTCTAATATGCTGATTTGCTGCTCAAGAAACGGTTATCATTATTATATTATTATAAAATTTTTGTGGAAACTGATACATTTTCTTCAGGATTCTTTGAATAACATTCTTTGTAACATTTATTTATGTCTTTACTGTCACTTTTGATCACTTTAATGCCTTGCTTTAAGAGTCCTTGCTCCATAAAAGTATTAATTTCTTTAAAAAAAAAAAATCTTACTGACCCCAAACTTTTTAATAGCAATGCTGTGATACATTTTGTTGTTGTTGTTGTTGCTGTGGTATCAATTGGTATAAAGAATTTTGAATTTTCACTTGTGTTGTCGTTGACTTGGTCACACTTAAGTGTCTTCACCTCAAATCTCAGATTTCAAACCATTTTCACCAGTCTGCATTTCCAAGAATGTTTTGCGACTGAGCACCTGTGAGGTTTCAACATGCACCGAAGTGAATTGCTGTAATGTGTTTGCTTGTCCATCTAGAATGGGAAAGCCAGTGGAACAGCATTTTTCTAACTTGGTTTGGGACCAACCCAAAATTGACGATTTAAGGAAAACCCTCAAGTCTCCTGAGATTTACAATGCCTATTTCCTCTTTTGTCTTGCAGGTTAGCTTTATATGTCTATGAGTACTTGCTGCATGTTGGCGCACAGAAATCGGCACAGACCTTCCTGTCAGAGGTAAGTGGTATCGCACAATCAGCTTGTTATCGTGTAGTCTAGAAATATGAATAAAATTCAAGGTGGATTTGAGGCCAGAAATGAATACGGTCTTATTGATGAAATGATCAATTAATCAATCATTTCCAATTGCTTTGTTTCAGCAACTGTGAACTGTTAGCTTTAGAACTGTTCTTTTTGGTAATACACTCTAAAAATGGTTGGTTGTTCTAACCCAATTTTGGGTCAAATATGGACAAACCCAAACATTGGGTTAAAAATGTAATAAAAAAATTCAAACACAATTTGTCCATATTTTACCCAAATTTGGGTTGAAACAACCCAGCATTTTTTAGAGTGTATATAGAGATATTTCTAGTTATTTTATCTGGATAAACATCATAGCTTCTTAATAAAACACAACGGCCGTATTAAACTTCTTATTTAGCAGGATTTTTTTCTCCAGAGCGACCTCCATTTGTCTGCTAAAACATTGAAAGGTCTTGATCAATAAAGGGAAGTGTCGTTGCTATGATATTACGTAACATGTCACCAGCGATTGTGTTTCTGAACATCAGTTTGAGCGCCACTGAGGGGGCGCGATCAGAGCATTAACATTCGTGCGGCTACTGCTGGCATAGTAAAGTGGATTGTCGGTATGGTTTTTATGGAGCAGTGGAGCTTCTGCTGTAGATGATGTCAATGCCGTTCTCTCTCACTATATGAACATTATATGGAGCTTGAGTACACTACATGTCTGGAGTGGAGGTGATGCCACCACTTCTGTTCAGAACCGCTCTTAAACACGACTGCATGTTAAAAGTCTGATTTAATGTTGGCCTCTGTGGGAACAGGTGCAATTGGTTTGTAATACACTCTCGATCTGCTGTAATGCTCTCTTTTAAGGCCAATCAAAGACTTTTATTGGTTTGACTCATTTCTTGAATAATTTATATGGGCTTTGATAGCCTATCCTTTAATTGAATCAAGAAGGCAGTTTGTGTGGAACTTAATTTATTAGCATTTTTGAAGATTTTGCTGACCCGCGGTCACACTGTGTTTTATTGTGCTTTATATTGGAAGGCATTTATAGTTGTTGGAGGCAGGTGATGTCTGTTCAGCTTTTCAATTGGTAATTTGAATGAATATCGAAGCTGTTTTTGACAAGATATGTTTTTGCAGTAATAAAGGTTTGTAAATGTTAATTGTTTGACATTATAAGACATTAACACTCTTCTTTAGTGCTTCAGGACCTTTACAGGTTGTGAACTTTTCAAATGTTATCATCTATCTTATTGCATTCGCCGCGGCCCTCTGGTACCTGCTGCGTTTGTTTGTGTGGGTATCATTAAGTGCTCTTCCAAAAGCTCCCAGTGTTTTTAAATGTTTCGCTCAGACAAAGTTTGACAAAGATGAAGCGCTGTGCCAAATTCTGGCCTTGTGCATGTAAGAACCTCCTGGGACTTTGGTCAGACTGGTGAGGTGTTGTCTCTGAATTTTAGCCCAGCATGGCATGATATACACAGATATTTAAAAACATACCACAGTGCGATATCATGATTTTACACATTTCAATTCCTGGACAACTCGATACGAGTAAGATTCTTTAATAATGGCTTTTAATGCATTTTCAGAATATTATTTCATTCCATAATATTCTATTTTCATTCAGATGAGATGTTAAATAAAAATTAAGTAATTTCCCTCTTTTTTATCATAGATTTAATAATGAAAAGTTATCAAAAACATTTAAGACAAAAATCTAAGAAAGTTTTGTTATTTATTGTTTTTAGCTGCAATTCTTGTACTTTTGTTGAAATGAAAAGTAAGGTGAGCATGATATTTTTAATATATTCCACTTTGTGCATTATCCTAATGAATTGTCAAACCCTAAAGAAGTCGACCGATTGATCGGTTTTGCCGATAACCGTTTGCTGGAAAAATCGGTTATCGGCAAAAATCCATACCGATTAGAGCTAGACGATTATCGTTAAAAGATCACGATCTCGATTCAAACACCCAGGTGATTTCATTCCTAAATGACAACAATTCAAAACATGAAATCTTTGAGCGAGTCATTGAATCATTCATTCAAACCGATTTAAAAAAAATTATTCATTCAAATTAATTCAACATTTTAACAATAGACTGCAGGATTTTATGACATGCTATTTTATTTAGTTGTGCGTTCAGATTCAGAATCGTGGGAGAATCGTGATCTCTGTTTGAAACAAAATAATCGTGATTCTTAATTTATCCAGAATCGTGCAGCTCTAGAACCGATAGTTTTCCCCCGGGTTGCGTCCATTGCTGAATTGGCTGAGAAGCGTCCGCTGTCTTTACACAGCATGAGAGCGGCCCCTAGAGGTGAAATAAAAACTATCACTGACACCCTGTGGAGTTTGTTTTGACGTGCGCGACTGCGCGCTGCACAGAGCGGGACACTTCAGATTCAGATTTAAAACAGACAATGAAACGGTATGTATACAGCACTACTGTACGTGTTTTTTCGTATCATTATAAAGTAATTAATTTGTTGACTAGATGCTGCATTCGTAGAGAAAGAACAGCAGTATGTTTGCCGTCGAGGCTGAGGGGATGCTAACATTAGCAGTACCTCAAGCGGTTAAAACAATGTGATAAAAACATGCGCAAGCCCGACCCACGATTACGATCTATTTTCATTCGTTTATATCCAGCTGGTCGCTTTTATGCATTTGTTTTGCCGCGAAGTTGCATATTTAAAGCTAGTGACATGAGAAAGAAAAGTGATGCAACCGCCAGAAGCATATAAACAAATCAAAAAAGCTTCCGATTTCAGTTTTTTTAATCTTCACTGTAATACATAGTTATTTTGATTAGATAATCAAGTGTTCTAAAATAGAAGCAAATAAAGCGGGAGAGTATACATGATACAATATGTTACTTATTTTAATGCTATGGCTTTTGTTTAGATATTCAAAGAGAAGTATAATTGTTTGTATTTATATGAAATTGTAACCCTTTACATTAAGAGTCAATTTATAACATTAACTAAGGTCAATAAAAGTATCGTTCATTGTTAATTTCAACATTTATTAATACATTTTTACATTTTAAACATTATGTAATGCACTATGAACTAACATGAATGATCAAGGTATAATATATATATATATTTATATTTAAAAAGTACAGTACATTTTCATGGTTCAGTACTGTTTTGTGATTTTTGTAATAAAGTTCAGTACTATTTCATGTTATATATTTTTTTTGTTCAGTATCCATTTTGAAAAATACCGGTTGATGAATTGGTTATCGGGTCCAACCTTTTTATTGTTATTGGTAAGATCGGTCAACCTCTACTTAGAAATACATAGTTTTATTTTTTCCTTTAAAAAAAGGAATGGACTGCAAAAAAGTATTGATAATTATTAAATGTATTGACGGTCATGGCTTAATTACATTAGTTGCCTAAGGCTGTTTATTTGTTGCCTCAGATATTGATGCCATCAATAGCATAGTTTTAGAAAGGCTAATTCTACAACTTATGCATGCTAAATTAGACTGTACTCTGTAAATAAATATTAAAGAGTCAACAAGTAAACAGATGGCTGTGTTTACCAACGCTTCAGTGTTTTTGTAACGGCGGTAGGGCGTCAACATGCGTGCTGTCGAAAGTCGTCATTACCGCCGTTGCTATTCAATTAGGCGAACGCTCGTCAGATCTCGAGACCTTAGTGCAGGCACACTCGTACACCACAGGGGAGGTCTTTCGGCCCGGGCAGGTACACAGCAGGAGGACGCACCTGTGCATTGAAGCTTAATGAGGGAGCAGTCACCTGCTTGTTCCCTTTGCCACCTCACAATTACTGCTGAAACTCCCTCTACTTACACCTTGGACCTCAAGGGGCTACACAACTCTGCACGGATCAGCACAAACACACATACACACTTTAAAACATTGTTAATCAGTCCCTTACATCAGGGAAACGCAGAATAATGCACATCAGCTTTTTGGGTGCATAGTTATGGACAGGGCATGTTCTAAAATCAATACGTCTGTTTGGAAAGGTAGTATCCGTTACTGTGGTAGGCTGAGTAGATGTTATCTTTAAATGGTGTCTGTGTTATGGGGACATATATATTGGATACAGTAGGGTTGAATGTTTCAGTTTCGTCTGTAATATTTATATTTTTAAGTTGCGTAGTAAAACCTTTTAAAGCACCAATGCTACAACCATACACATTCGGACAGGCATTTTGGCCATTGCATCATGATCGCATTGTTTTTGAGCATCTATTTAAGCTAGAAAACGTTTTAATATTATGAGGTATCCATATATCGCTATAAACCAGTGTGACCTGATTATAGGACTTATTTAGGACTGCCTATTCAGCTAGTCGTTCAGTTAACACAGCGAATAAATGGTTTTGTACGATTTTTGTACATCCCTAGACTGGAACCAGCTTGCCATTGGTCTGCTGAACCAAAAGAACTAGATGTTTAATTTGTTTTGCTATTATAATGGAGCTTTTTAACTGTAGTTCATGGTTTCTGAACCTGCTCTATTCATACTTGACCTCTTTTTCTCTGTCTCTCTCTATCTGTTTCTACCTTTTTAGATCCGATGGGAGAAGAATATCACATTAGGAGAGCCTCCTGGATTCCTGCACTCATGGTGGTGGTATGTATTGATCTTGTAACTCAAAACCTCTAACATTCTCTGACGGTATGCCCATGCTAGCCATTAGCAGCAGTAGAGGAGCCTTAATGAACGACAGTCCATTATTCTTGGACGTAGGAGTCTCCTTATTACATATATATTTGTATGTTGCCATACAGCATTAGGCCTGTTTTAGGCCTGCGCTGCGTACCTGTATTTGACGTGCCGTAAACTCTGTGAAGGCGACTCGCCGTCATTTTGCTAAGAGCGCTGTGTTTCTCACACACACGCAAAGAGAGAGTGAGAGTCTTGCATGCCACACAGAATTGACGCGCTACATGTAAACGATATTCTTTCCTGTCAAAATAACAGAGTTCATTTGGAATTATTCAGTTTTTAAAAACAAGCAGAAGATATGCCGGATTCTCTGGTAGTGGGCAGAACTAATGCGCAAACGGCAATCTCATTGGTTGACGCTCATCTATTAACGTCCCTGTTTTGATTTCAGCAAATCAGTTTGAGCGAACGCTGACAACGTGATTAACATTCATGAACCTAGTAGCTCATCAATCCTTAGTGCGTTGTATATCGTTATTATTATTATTAGAATTAGTTGTAGGATTATTATCTTTTAATAATAATTACTATTATCTATTACTATTATCTTTTTTTTTTTTACAGAAACACTGAATAACCAACAATATCTTAAGTACCACCACCAGTCCTAAGTTTAGTTAAAATGACAAATATGCATTCATACATGGTTGCATATTCATCAATCATTAAATCATTAAATAGTGCTTGATTATCATGATATCATAAAATAATGCTTGATTGACTGATGTTAAGAGTGTACGTTCAGATATTTAAAAATATGTATATAAAATGGTATATCAGTCTGAAGAGTGACCAAAATAATTTACTAGCCAATGGCGATTCTATTGCCTAGGTGTGCGTAGAGGGTTATCTGTGAGTGATTGCTGTGGATGGATTTGAAGATCTCAACAGAGGATGACTGTTGGCTGATTTAAAGACATGTTCTTGTATTCCTCTTTGTTGGCTGCCACTCTGTGAACCTTAGCCTGGGTAGAGGCCAAATTTAATTTGAATGTATTACACAAATTAAAATGAGGCTGTGAGGGCTAAATGTACAGTCCATTCCCTGTTGAAGAGACCAGCATTGTGCCTACAAGGCTTCTTAGCCTGCAAACCTCTCTTGGTCAACCAAGCAATTTTTTTTTGCTAGTGAAAAACATGCCTAAGCTAGTGGACTAGCTAGTTAGCAAGAAGCTGCCATATAACAGTTAGGATTAGCTTGGAAATTCATGTTGATCTGAGATGGTATTTTCAACAGGGAACCATTGTTTCCTATAGTTTTTATGTCCTCTGGTAATTTTTCGGAAAGACTAATTTTCAATGTTTTGTCTGACGAACTATCGAGCCCAAGGTACGCAACGGTAGAACCTATTGAACAGTATGTACATCTATCCATAACAGCCTTATTTTATTGGAATCAAATTAAATAGGGCATCCATCGTAACTTGGGTCCATTGGAGACTCTTATGTTGGTCTGGAATTCACATTATGTTCTAAGCTTTCTCAAAAATAAGATCAGTGTGTGGAGATCAGGTTCACACAGAGCAGTGTGTTCATTTATCACACTCAACTTATTCTCCATCTTGGATTACTGGCTCCCCTCTGTGAGATTATTGGGAGTCTAGTAGGTTTTGGAGGGTCCCTGTATGCTGTTGACACCATTGGAGGGGGCGTCTGTCTGGAGCTATAGCACGTAGGGGAGGGGGGTCGTGTCGGGGTTTTAGGGAGTCGGAGGGGCCATGGAGTACCGCCCTCTTCACCAACCCCCCTCCCCCAAACAAAAGGGCCAGATGGTAAGGGAAAGCCAACCCCTCCCCCCTGTGCTTACCCCCACCAACCTTTGTCTGGAGGCCTGTCCTTTGTTTGCGGAAGAACCCTCAAACGGATTAACTCCTTGCATTCCAGTCTTCTTTGTGTTAAACAGCCAAATCTCCTTCTCCACTACCCCCTTTTGCGTTTTCTTCCCTTCTGTCTAAGACAGTTTCCTGTTGTAAGGGGGTTTGAAAGCACCAGGCTCTGGGGTGGGGCTGAAGGGGATGGAGGCAAAGTTTGGTGAGAGAGGCAGTCATCCACATCTGTTGTAAGGCGAGCAAGGGGTTGGGGGTGGTGGTTTTAGTTGGGGTGCAGGTGTGGATTGCAAAAAAAGGTTGACCGTTTGTGATTAATCTTGTGCATACATTTGTTTAATCGATTTCTGGTAAGAAAGGAGAAAGTCGAGCCATAGAAATGTTACATGGATTTACTTTCAGATGGCCTATGGCTGACATCCTTCTTTGTGAATGGCAGAGATGACTGAAAAGCCACAGAGAAGTGTTTACCTTCAATACACTTTAATTTAAACTCAACTGTGCAACACTGGAAAAAACAGAAAGAAAGGGTGTTGTGGTTGTGTATGCCCTAAAGTTGACATTAAAGCATGTAGAACACAATATGTCCTATTTTTATTTTTTAACTATTTTCTTCTCTGACATGATGCAATCTTAAAACTTAATGCAAATGAAAAGGCAGCTGATTTACATGTTATACTGATAAACACTTAGGTCAGGTCATGTTGTACAATATTACATTGATGCTATGAACATTTCTATGTACTACATCTGATGGATAGCAGCATGTGTTTAAAGTCAAGACCAAATCAAAACTGACCCTGAATGGATTCATGTTTCTGGTGAATAATTATTAAATTAAATAGTGAATAATTAATCGGTGTATGTTATTCCAAGAAGTAAGTCAAATAGCTAATAAGTTAAATAGCTATTTAGGCATTGTTTTAGAAAACTCTCATTCGGTCTCTCTGTAGTTTGATATGTAAACTCGCACGCCATCTAATCACTTCTTGCTGAATATCCAGTTTTACTTAAATACGTCACACCAAAGTATTGAAAGTACATGGAATCCTTTGAGAGAGAGAGATAGAGAGATTTTGATGTGTATTTTGTTTTATATTATCTAAAGGAACAAAATGTTGGAGAGAAGGTATGGCGGGAAATCTACGTGTACAGACCTGTTGCATTGTGGCACTTATATGCGGGCAAGTTTGAATCCTTCGTTTTGGGTCATTTCCCCATCCCATCCCCCCTTTTTATAGTTAGTATAGTATAATGGTGATATCATTTTGAAAATTTGTTTTATTTATTTTTTTATATATAAATGACATTTTGTATTTTTTTGTTTCAGGAATAGTATTATTTTTCACACAACAACATTATGGATAATTTCACACCTGTAATAGCACACTAACATTTAGATCTGTCACACTTCCTCATGTCTTAAAATCCACTGTCGTGATTCGTGCGTGTCGTCATACCAGCTATTTAAAAACTTTCCAACATTTCCTGTGTGTTGATGCAAAGCACACAAGCATTAAGCAAGTCGTCTTGCTGAAATCAAGGTAATCGAACATACTTTTTTTAGAAAACGCTTTTCAGTAACAAAGTGTAACTGGCGTCTTATTTCATTTCCCCTGCACCCTGATTGGATTTGAGATGGTCCTGCTGTCTCCCTCCAGCAGCTTTCCGACAAAGCTGCAATCTCTTTAACGGCGGCTGATAGATATGATAATGCCGCCCGGCTTTATTGTGAACTGACTGAAGGGCACAGAACAGGCATGACGTTCCCCTGTCAAAGTGCCTTTCTTGCTTTTTCCTGTTTTATTTGTTTCCTGGTTTATGGCTTCTATAGGATGTGAGGTGTTAATGTATAGTGCCTCCTACTGAGCACTCATTTACTCCCTTATCTATGGATCTTGTATGGCATCATGTCCTTTTTTTTTTTTGTCTTTTTGTCTCATCTTTTTTCTCAATTTTTCAAAAAGGAGTAGTATGACTGTAATTTTTGAAGAATATCCCACTGTGAAAGAGAGATGGGGCTATCAAGCTCAAAAATGACAAAAAGCAACATAAACGTGGTCCACAGAATGCTATATAGATTTTTTTTAAAGCTGTATAAAGGCTTTGTGTGAGGATCGGACTGAAATTTACTCAACGAAAATCCTGACATCTGCCTTAGCTGTATTTGATGCATCACATGAGGTCACGAGAGAACTCTGATTTCTTGAATGAATTGTTCTTTTGACTTTAATCTTTTCATTGAATCACTTCATCTAATTCTCAAAAATGTTCTTAATGATTTATTTGGCATTTCGTCTTCACAAATCTATCATATGAACAACCTTCATTCATACCTTTATTTAGTCCCCATTCATTGTAATTTCATTGAAAAGGGTGACCAGTGCAGTCTGATGCATGGAAGACAAAGTCACATGACCTTTTAATAAGCCTAAGCTCAATCTACATATGAATCTAAACAATTTTTACTGCAGTTCCTCTACTTTTGTAGTCTTATGAGCTGAACGTTGTTTAACCTTGCTCTCTTATTCCACCCATAAACAGTGAGTGATTTATGAAAGCTGTCATAAGCTATCCTTTGCGTTATGGTCACGAACACAAATCCGTCAAATGGTTTCCACTCCACGGCAAGATATATGAAATGGGTGGAAACTGATTAGCCCCATTGACCTGTCGCTGTGCCGTGAGCGGCCTATTTTGTCCTTTTTGCAATCTGTCACATCAAACGTAAGCTTTTCCCCCACATTCAGAACAGAAGTCTAATTTTGTTACATCAGCAGAAATAATGCACAGCGGTAAAAAGTGCTGCCTCGGAAGATGGAACAACTTGCGTTCGTTTTCTTAAGCCCTGCTTCAGCAGCTTTTATGAAGCGTCCATTAAATCAATATCTAAAGAGTGAGAGCGGTTTAATGCCGACCTGTTTAACAGGTACTTATTTTCAATGAAGTAATTAAGGGACAATTTGGAGTGCAACCTGCTCCCCCTAGCAGCCCTTAAGGACTGTATTTCCTTAATTAACAAATATCAAGCCTAATTGATTAGCCACTTGCAGGTCGCACCTCATAAAGTGGGAAGCTATCCAGGGGGTTATGATTGCAGTGACCCAGCTTTGATAGAAGCTGTCAAGTTCTACTGAGTGTGATACTGAAGAAAATCAGTTTTCTGTTATTCCTCGGATGTGCCTTTTTACACATACCGTGTACTGGAGCCGGTGCCTGATTTGAAACCATTTCACACGTTTCTAAAACAGAAATCGACACCGTGTCACTCCCTAAATCCTGCCGGTTGACCAACCCCAATTTGGCATTCAATAATAAATCATGAATCTGTTAGTCTTGACTGGCAAGGATTCGCTTAACGTCTGCTCCGTGCCTCTGCCAATCAAAACTGTTTTGAACAGAGTAATCGATGCAAGGAACTTAAATGGAGACGATCAGTCAGGTGGAGCAGAGAAGGTCTCCGTGAAGAAACGGCAAAATTACTGACCTTTTCAGGGCTTCAAGTCCAGCTTAGTTTCGTCTGTAAATAGGCTGCGGTTTTGTCTTGGTCAACTTAGCGAAGTATTAAACTGCTAGCAAATGTTAGCAGTAGCACCCCATTACTATTGTCACTCAAAATACTGAAAGCAAAAGGACGTCATTATTAGAGATGCACTGATCGACCGGCCAGGGCCCGGAATCAGCCGATTTTCCTCATGATCGGCCCAGACCGGTGACCGTTTTGTTGGCAATAACGTCAGATGCTCGTTCTCGCTCTCTTCTCTCCAATGGCGAAGTGACACACTCCCGCCTCCTCTCACTCACTTGTATTTCTTACCTGAATATACTGTATACCCATCTGAAAAACGTAAAGCCATTTTTATTTCATATCTCTCTTTATTCTATTCCATTTATTTGTGCTGCTGTTTGAAATTTGTTCTCATTTTATTACTGTCTTTTTACTTGTTTAAAAAAAAAATGAAAATAACATTTTGCATTTGAAGAAAAGTCGATTTTTGTTTGTATATGCTGTCGATTATAGTTTTTTGAAAGAAAATCTGTATCGCCAGGTCACACTTACAGAAAAATCTGCCAAGAAAATTTAAATCGATGCATTTCTAGTCATTATTATATATAAGTCATCGTAATAATGAAATAACATGTTCAGTATTACGATTTTTCTGAAAACATATTGTCATAATGTAGTTCTTGTACTAATTTTGACATTTTAGGCAATTAAAAAATTTTGTTTTATTATATTTGTATGAAATAGTTTTTTTTTTAGTCCTTTCTAAGATTATCAACCATCAACCAACACTGTCCCAATGTAATACTTTGATAAAGTTAGATCCTGTTCAAACAAATTACAATGAGGTGTTTTTTTGCAACAAGGTTCTTCTCATAACAGTAGACCTACTGGACTGGTGAAGAAGTGACAGGTACAAGAAAAATAGCACAAAAAAAAGTACACACAAGGGAGAGAAGGAGAGGTATCAGAGAAAATGGAAAAAAGGAAAAGGGAAGTGTAGGTGCAGTTCAGGAGGGAACCTTTATTTTGCACGGCCCCGGCATAAGCATTTAGACCTTTTTTATGTGATGGCCATACAGAAAATAGGGTTGTCTGGGGTTTCAAAATTTGTTGTGGGTGTATGGGATGGCCTGAATTAGTGTTCGATTTCCCAGCCTGAAATTGTGTCCCAGTCTGGCCCTGCAGTGCAATAAAAAAAAATAATGGCAAAAAGGAACTGAATTAAATTGCTTTGTATGTTAAAATAAACCCTTAAGGTTTGTAAATGACAACTGCAATGTGGTGTTTATATTTGTGAGTAGGTCAGATGCATCCCAGTTGAGCTCAAGCATTTTGGCAAAAACTTTTGGTAGCTTTTACTTTTTGGTAAAGATTAGGATAATTGGGAAAATTAGTACAACGGGGCCTAAAACAAACCATGCCATTCAGTACCATTTGCACATGGCCTTGATGTTGTAAAGTGTACCACAGCCTGTTGGTGTTTAGTTCGGCAGCTGTTTCGTTCTGTGGAGTTCACCCATGTATTTGATACTCAGCTTTGTTTATTCTGCCTTATTTTGCAGTGTATTCTGGGATCTGTACTGCGCAGCTCCAGATCGACGGGAGACATGTGAACATTCCAGCGAGGCCAAGGCTTTCCACGACTATGTGAGTTCCTTTTTTATCCACCTTGGGGTTGAGATAAACCTGAAGTTTACCGCCTGTTTACAGTTAGCAGTGCTGTTCATCTTAAGCTTTGGATCGTTATTACATTTGTTATTTCTGATTCTATGTCTATTTGCTCTTACAACATATGTGCTAAAAATATGGCCACACAGGTTATGACTTTTTAAAGGATGACTTAAATTATGACTTTTTTTTGGAAATATTTGATCACAGAAAATGTTGTAATATCTACAAATATTAGCATACGGTATACGTGTGGTAGCTTCATTGTCGGTGTACTAGGATACACCTTTGTCCGGTTCCTCCGGGTTCTAATTAAGTTCTGGCACAGTAACCCAGATGCTTAAAGGAATGGTTCACCCCAAAATAAAGATTCAGTCCTCATTTACTCACCCTCTTGTCATTCCAAACCTGTATATCTTTTCAGTCAATACAGTGGAAGTCAGTGGAGTCCAATTTAGTTTGGACTACAATGTAAAAATTTCTTCTTTTGTGTTCTGCAGAAGAAAGTAAGTCATACAGGTTTGGAACAACAAGAAGGCGAGGGATATAGTTTTTATTTTCGGGTAGTAAACTTTCCCTTTAAAGCTGTGGGATTTGGAGTTGGCTGGGCTTTCATGGGTCACTCTTGAATGTCTGCAGACTGACCCTTTTGACCCCTTGATCTGTAGAAGACCTTTAAGTTAGTAATGGAGAACTGGAGTAGCATGTGTGGACAACCCCTAAGCTCCACCAAAATGGGTAGTTATTTGTTGATGCAGCTTTCCAACTGCAAATGACTATGTTAATGTGACCACAAACACTGACCCTTGCTCAACCCTTGAAGTGTTAGCGCCTGTATCTTGCCGGGTATACAGGGACCTCTTTCCCACTCTGCATGTTTTCTTTGGCAGAAATGTAGCATCAAATATAAATTGTGCAAATATCTTTTACCCGCCACATTAGCAGTTTTAAAACCTTGTGAATACACTCCAGAGGAGGATAATATGTCAAAGATTATATGAAAGTAAGTATGATTTACTGCTAACTGCTAGCACCAGAGTTTCACCTGGGCCAAATCTCGGGCCTTGAGTCACAAAAGGGATTATGCGTCTATTCTTGCTTCAGACATTTAATTTGCTGGACTTACTAGCAGAGAACAGTTACAAGTCCGTGTCATCTGTCTGCTGAAGTTTCAACCAATTGGAATATGTACGTGTGTGTACGGCCTCTATAAGATTAATTACATGGTTAATTAAACGCCATGCTTAATTAAGTCTGACGTGTGTTCAATTAATCTATACGCCTAATCATTTCTAACACCCAATGGACACCTGGGATTGTCGAAATGAGTGTTCTGATGACCCCCTCCTCCGCACGACTGACCACCCGTGCTCGAACTTGATGTGGCTATTGTGAAACAGGCTGTCTGCTCAGATTGACTGTTTGAAATGCTCGGTGGCCTTTTCTAAGTAAACTCTGGCTCAGTCTCCAAGCTTTGCTACTGGACCTCGGGGACTCGAGACTCGAAGCTCAGATGTCCCGCCCCCCGAGTTCTAGTCTGAGGATTAATGACCGGTTTCCCCTGACCTTTAACCCTCGGCAAAGTTCAGGAGGTCAGAGCGTATCCGGCCTGTGTTGTCCCGTTTCGAATGTTAACCCAAATCTTTTCATCAGGCTATTAATCTCCATTTGGCTTCAGAATGTTGCATCCAGCAGATTTTAGGCAATTTTAGGTTTGGAGTTTTTATTAATTGGGCTAGGATGAAGTGAACACATCAAGTTCTTTTCTCAAGGGTTACTCAGCACCGTTGATCTTCCTGAGCGATTTCCCTTGGCCGTCAACTCTCGAGCCACTGGCTGGCCGCTTCTTAGAAGACCTGGGGCTATTTTCTATCTATTTTTGAGACTTTTGTAGACACCTGGCTAATGTTGTGTGAAGAGTCTTACGGTTGAGGTCGTGACGAGTGTTGGTGATGATGGGAGTGGTGGAGATCGAGGACGAGGAGGATGCGGCGGCGTCAGTCCCATGGGTTGCTCCAGACCTGTCTCCGTCTGATTAACTCCAGCTCTGGGATCCCTATGGACCGGCCGCCCCATCAAACCTGCTATCTCAGGCAAGGCTGATAACAGTGCCCATTCCCTAGCGTGTCAGTGGATCAGGGGCAGAAAAACAAGCAGGTTCCCATGAGTCAAATCCTCCTCACTGTCAGCGCTGCAGTTATATTAACTTCTCCAAGTCAGGGTTTCAGTAGTGACTAGGTTTTTGCAGTCATAAAATGAAACCTTTTTTTTGTTTGTAAACTTTCTGGTGGTGGAATTTGGGGAGGCTGAGAGTCTTCCTTCTTTTTGTCTACCCTCTCTGTGGCCAGTGATGGAGGTTGTGCGAGTAAGTCCTCCAGTTGGGAGGAAAGATAATGGGATATAACATGCAAATCTTGAGATCTGTGGAATCTGGTTCATAACTAATCCGAGGATTGCTATAGGATTGTGACTCTGGCTGAGCTCCCAGAAGCGGAAAGCCAGTTCCCCAAAACCAGGCCCTAACCCTAGTGCCACCAAGAAACTCTCAATACCACATTTTTACCATCCAACCCCCTCCCCCTTTTTAAACAGGCAGGATCATCTGGAAGTACTTCAGTGTACTTATAGACAAGCTATTGATTGCTACTCCCAGTTATAGATCTGAAATCATAATTTAGTCAAATATGATGGTCTTTTACTTAATAGAAACTAAGTAAAAGAGAAAGCAGGGTATAGTGGTATGCAAGGTTTGTTATGTACCTGCTTGGTGCACATTTCCTAAAACTCCCACAGAAGCCTGTCTCCTGTCAGAGCCTTTGTCTAAACCTCTGTATTTAGTTACACAAGCAGAAAGATTTGCATATTTGTCATGTAATTTTGCATGTGGAGTTGCTTGTAAACTGATGACTTCAAAACAATATTGTTCTGATGAGTGATTTAAAAGATTGTATCGCTTATTTTCAGGATCTTTTTACAGTCCAAGCTGTGGCCTAATAGTTAGTGCATGTACTGTGACAGATGAGAGAGTGCCTTTTTATCCGTTTCATCTGGATGGTAACCTTGGTTCTGTGAAAAGTCTAGTTATGTTCACAAGCAACATTTACACATTGATTGTTTATTTGGAGTTCTTTAGGAACTCTACCGCAAGTATTTCACAAAACAAGCCTTACCTTTTATTTGAGTGGTTTTTAACATAAATGTATCTGTATCGGTTGATATTGAATGCGTAATTGCTGGCATTAGATATTTTTTTTAATTGTGCAAGTTATTACATTTAAAAAAAAAAAACTTAAATCTTTTGTCTTCATTTTATGCTCACTTAAAGTTATTATTTTAAATGATGATAATTTAATAGCACTGATAAATGTAATCTTTGGCAAATTAAAAATTGTCCTACTGTACAATTTAATGACAAATGAACTATCCAAAAACAGTCAATATATATTTCCAAAATAGACAGATACTAATAAATAATGGTACTAATATATTATGCATCCCTAGCAAGAGCATGTCTTATGTAAATTCCCCTTAGCAATTGGTCAGGTGAACACAAAACTCACAAAAAAAACACAAAAGGCCTCCTTAAATAGATGTTGCAAGCAGGGCGGGGTCGAGTGCCATGAGAACAGAGCGAGGGTTAGTGCGAGACCACACCGGTCTCGAGTCTTACAGAGGAACCCCGGAAGGATAAAAGGAGGAGTGACGACAGTGCGAGACAAGAGAGGACCAGGCCTGGATTTTATGTTTTTGAATTAAGTTTATATGCGGCAGTCGTCCGTTAAGGACTAATTAGTAGTTCAGGCGACCCGCTGACTAGTCCATTTTGAAAATACATAGTTTTGGACATCCCTAATGTCACCCACTTGCTACATCAAGTGTCACACTCTGGAAGATGGCTTTTCCCCATCCCATCACATACTGACAGAAACATTGTCAGTACATTATGGAGGCCCTTTTCTTGACCCTCTTTTACACCATTTAAATTGGAACATAACTAACACCAATTTCAGGCGTCACATATGCCTTCACGGCAGACATGAGCGTACCTCAATGACACACTTACGAGGTGGCAAACTTGGAAAGGATGGAAGGGCGACAGACGAACATGTTTTTCAATGCTGCATCTTTTGGCAGCATTTTGCGTCATTGAAAAGACGAGTGGAGGAACAGGTGGTTTATAATATCCGAGCGTTTCAAAAGTGGATAGTGAATAAGCATTGGTCATTGTCTTTCGTCTTTCTTGTTTCATGAGCTTCCAGGTGGTCCTGATGACTAATGCGTGACTGTGATTTTGAATGTGAGCTACGTGCTGCTTTTCTCTTCTCAATCTGAGCTGTTCTCACTGCATCATCTGCCCCAGCTTTCACCTGTCTTTTTTCGTATGCTCAGTTTCTGCCATTTATCATTTGAAATCTCTCAATGTTTGTCTCTCATTTTCTTTCTCTCAATTGAGATTTACCAGCGTTTTGGAAGATGACAAACAGGAATAAACCTTAAAGCACCGATCAGTGACTCACAAAGGTTTTCACTCAAATGATTTGCTGTTGTTCACCTTCATCTTCCTCTCTGTAGATTTCCCAGCTAAAAAACACCAGGAGAAAAGCATGTTGTATTTTGGATGCAAGTCCCCAGCATGAGATGCTAGCATGCTAGTGTCCCCTCCAAGCTTCTCAACTAGCTTCTTAACAAGACTTGCTTGGTCATGTTTTCCATGGTTATGCTGTTTCACCAAATATGTTCAAATGTTTTTTACTCTTTTGACACCCCTTTTCTATCCTCAAAATCAAGCTTTTGACTTTCCGGAGCATGTTGTGTTGAAACGTGAGTGTGAAATGGGGCTCCAGGCTGTTTGTTTTGTCTAGCCATAAGAGACGTCAAGAGTTGATTTGACCCTTTTCACGTTTCAGAGCATCTGGATGTAGAGGGCAGGTGTGTCCGAGAGTTATTTATTTATTTTGAACTTCTACCACATCTTGCTA